GGGGAGGGGTGGGAGCCAGCCCTCACAGCAGGGCCCCAGCTGCTGATTCCCTCAGGCTGCCACAGCCCAGCCTTGCCCCAGTGAGCTCATGGGGCTGGGAAACAGGCGAGCCGTGAGGCAGGCTGGGCTGGAGGAGCTATGGGCGCTGCACCGGGGACCCCCAGCTCCCCGGAGGGGGGACAGAGAATTCTGCTGGGGCTGTGAACAGAGCTGAGCACCCCAGCCGCCCGGAGCCTGCTCTGCTCGCTGCACAAACCAGAGGGGAAGGGCTTCCCACAGCTCACGTGGCTGCCCGGCAGCCGGCCTCCGGGCTCTGCTCCAGAGGGAGGCTGAGGAAGAGTTTGCCTCCCCAGGGAACTGCCTGGGGCTAACCTCCTTGCTGAGGGGGACTCCACAGCCAGGAAGGGGGGGCTGCCTTTCTCCACCATGGCCTAGGGCTGTAGGGAAGAGGCACAGCTGGTCCCAAGTGCCCTGGGGGTGCTCACCAGTATAACACTGCCTGGGCCAGTGCAGGGTGCTCTCCAACCCGCCTCCTGGGCTTCTCCCCTGTGTTGCAGTCGGAGGCCTTGCAGCAGCTGCACAAGGAGTCGGAGAGCATCCGCAGCCGCTACGCACACTACTTCGACCTCGCCCTGGTCAACAACGGCGTGGAGGAGAGCCTCAAGCTGCTCCAAGAAGCCTGGGACCAGGCCTGCAGCTCCCCCCAATGGGTGCCTGTCTCCTGGGTCTACTGAGCCAGTGTCTAGCCCTGGCAGCCCCCCACACCCCCATCCTGCAGCATGGGATGGTGGGAAAAAACTTGACAGCTTACGCACACTACTTCGACCTCGCCCTGGTCAACAACGGCGTGGAGGAGAGCCTCAAGCTGCTCCAAGAAGCCTGGGACCAGGCCTGCAGCTCCCCCCAATGGGTGCCTGTCTCCTGGGTCTACTGAGCCAGTGTCTAGCCCTGGCAGCCCCCCACACCCCCATCCTGCAGCATGGGATGGTGGGAAAAAACTTGACAGCTTGACCCCCCCCCCCCCCCCCCCCCCCCCCCTCCCCCTCCCCTGCGCCACGCCC